AATTAAGAAGCCAAGATGCATCAACAGGTGTTCTTTGCTTTGTGCAATTGACATCCTGAGTACAGAGAATTGGACTCTGGAATGAAAAAGCTTTTAACACTTTGTCCTGGTTTCAGCTGGGATAGAGTTATTATTTTTTATAATAGCTGGTTCGGTGCTGTGTTTAGGATTTAGAATAATGTTGATAACAAATCAATATTTTAGTTGTCGCTAAGTAGCACTTACTGTAAACCAAGGACTTTCCCAGAAACTCCCAGTTTCCCAGAAAGCTGGGACTGAACATGGCCAGGATAGCTGACCTGAGTGGGCCAAAGGGATATTCCATGCCATAGTAACCATTCCATGCTTACTATATAGACTGGGGAAAGAAGTCCAGGAGGGGCTGATTGCTCTTCAAGGACAGGCTGGGCATCAGTCAGAAGGCAATGAGCAAGTGTAGTGTGCAGCACTTGTTCTTCTTGAGTTTTATTCTTCTCTCTTTTTTGTTACTTCCCATTTCATTGCAATAATTATTATTACATTTTACTTTATTTTGGTTATTAAAACTGTTCCTGTCTCAATCCATGGGTTTTACCTTTTCCAGTTCTCGTCCTCATCCCACTGAGGGGGACTGAGTGAGCAGGTGTGTGGTACTTAGCTGTCAGCTGGTGTGAAACCACAACATACTTTCAACTTCATCCTTCACTTGACTGGTCTGCAGAAGATAACTTTAAAATACTTTACTGATCAATGTTATTTGGCCCAAAAATCCCTGGGCAACTAAGAAGCTTCATTTATATCCAACAGGTTTTTTATTCTGCTACTTTCTTTGTCACAGCAGAGAGCAGTCTCATCAGAAAAAGACGTTTGTTCCACTTGTGTTAAAGAGAGGTTGTTTTGGTGTTGTTTTCTGTGTCATTCTTACGTTGGCGCTTCTTGGTTCCTTTCCGTGACACAACCCAGCCAAGTAAAGAACCCACCAGGACCCCAGCTACTGCAGTCACAATGGCAGCCCAGTAGGGGACTGAAGATTCTGTTTTCTCCAAGATGAGATCTGAATTTCCAAATCCACTATTCCTTCGTGTGGAAAAAAAAGGTTTCTCCTACAAAGGGAGAACAAAGGGTTTATTTACCACAGAGCACTCAAGGGCAGTATTCCAACAATATGCCATTGCCCCTTCTCAGAGAGGAATGATAGATCTTTAGACAATCAGCTGGTTTTGCCTTCTCTCCATCTTAGCCCAAACACTCTCCTGCTCTATTGCCTGAAAATTCAGAGAATACAAAAAAGAAGCCACCTCAGAATCAGGAGTGGTGGCATCGCTTCCTAATTTGCTTGCTGCAAACAAGCCAATGGAAATGCATGGACTCATTAGAACAAGCTTTAATGAGAGGCTTTCCACTGCAGTGAGGATAAAGCTTTTTGTCTTAAATCTTAAGCAGATTTCCCTGTCTGTAACAAAACAGGAGTTTATTTTAGCTATTTGAAACCTTCACAAAGACACTCTTTTAATGAACTCTACCAGTGTGAAGGAAGGAGAAAAGAGGTAATTAATGGAGAAAGCACCTTGACCATTACTTACAGGGTTTGGACACTTGAGTTTTGATCTGTCTTGGGTAAAGTTGTTGTAAGACTGCTTTTCACCAACTGGCTCCAGCTGAAGAAGAGAAAAGTAATGTTAAACATAACGATGAATTTTTTCTTCTCAGGCTCTCTTGATTCAGAGAGTTACAACTTCTCATCCAATCTTTCGCTGCTTGCAGTAATGAAGTAGTGTGGTAGAGGAAAAGTTTGCAAACATTTTAACACTTGTGAACCAAAGACATTGAGAATCTGATGTACTGGCTGCAGAATAACTCCCTCAGAAGCAAGGAATAGGATAAGTGTTTCTTCCTTTTGCATTGCTCTGAACACAATGTATTTTAAACGTTCAGCTAAAGTAAAGTGGTTCACTATTATACCCGGTTCTGCCATGTACTCCTGTCAAGTGGCAGTGTAACTACAAAGGAAAAAAACCCACATGACTTAGGTTAAGCATATTACTTAGCACATTACTTAAAGAAAGGTGCCTAGATGTCATAGTGATGGGAGTTACTTCAGAAATTACAGAGTTACAGAGAGAGGATGGGACAATGCCAACCTTTGCAGTCTTCACTCAGACAATAAATTCCCTGGGAATTTTAGCTGAGGCTAGGTTCACAATTTTGCAAGGAGGGAGTTAAACAGAGCCTTTTATGTTATCAGTTGTCAGCTAAGTTGCAATAGCTGACCATAGGCTCACCCTGAGCCCATTTCCAGCCCAACATAAAATATGCCCAGGCTAACAGCAGGCAGTTGTGCTTGGCTAGGAGTGCACATACCACCGGTTGCCATAGTTAAGCTAATGAGTAGAGGCTTGCTCAGTCATGTTAACTGAAGTGTTTACAACTGTTGTATGGACATGCCTGAAGTAATGACTTCAAGATTGGTCCATAGAGAACTGCAAAGTTGTCATCCAGCACTTCTGGGAATACAGCACAGAGGATGGCTGTTGCTTCTGCTATTGCCCACACAGGCATTTACTGTCCTTAAGGGATTAAAGTGTCAGCTGCATGCTTAAGAGAAACAATACAGCAACAAGGCCAACACAACATGGAAAAAACAAATTTGATCCATAAGATTCTCATATGGAAACATTGAGAATACTTTCTGTCTCTAGCTCATTTTTAATAAAAAATTGTAAAAACAGAAAGAAGCTAGCAGAGACTGAAAAATAAAAATCTATGAACCACAGAAAATACAACAAGGGAAGAGAAGAAAGCTAACAGGTGAAGAGAAGATGAGAAGCAAAACAGGATCCCAAGTTTTGCTGATTGTTGTAGGGTCCTGATGGACTCTTTTACGACTTTAATCACTTGGCCCACCCACCATCTTATGCAGTGAAGACTGAATTTGGTCATTTTGTTGCACCTTAAAGGGAACAGCTGTTATTTGTAGGATGTGTGGCTCCTATCTTGCAGCACTCTGCCTGTGGTGCAACTGGTTATTTGTAGATAATTGTAATTCTTCCCATGCCAGGGCACTTGGTAAGGATTCTGGCACAGAGCCCAGACTAAGGATGATAAAATGCAAAATTCTGTAATCACCCATGCTTACTTCATCTCTATACAATCTGTTCTTCAGAAGCGTTAGATTCCGAGCTTTGAAGAGGACACTATCCTCAAGTCCATAAGCGTATAGGACAAGTTCTGGAAGAAACCCACAGTTCCTCTAGAGCATGTGGCCAGCATGGAGAAAGAACACAAACCAAACACTCTGTCCATGTGTCTCTTCACCTCAGCCAAAGACTTAACAAGGTGGGTTTGGGACCAGTGGAATCAAGACTTTAGACTACAGAGCACTCTGACTTCAGAGAGCAGGAGCACACTTTGTTTTGCATGAAGCCAAAAGGGTGAAGAACATTATGGTGAGGGAGAGACTCCGTAAGCCATCCCAATCCCTGCATACCCACACAGTGGCCAGGCACAATCTGGCCCTTTATGTGCACTGACAAGAATCCGTGTCATTTGGCCATAAGCCTGCAGCCTGCCGAGCTTTTCAGGGAACAGGGAAACAATACAGCCTTGCCGTACAAGGACTACAAGGGAAAAGCAGGGATGTGTTACAAGAACTAGATTTAAATAGTAAACAGTAATATCTGCAGTTGGCATAGACAGACAGATCTCTATGGCAGTGAATAGTTGTGCTTTGCATCAGTAAGAACCTGATCTCTGCCACCCCAGTAGAAAGCTTTGTGTCAATAGCCTTACATGCGTAGGAAATGAGTGACAGTCTGGACAGAAAAAAAAAATCTGGTGGCATAGGGAAAGAGACTGATGGTGATTCAGGAATGAGTAATGGCCAATAGGAATACCACATGGCAACAGAAACCCAATTTAAGACCGCCATATGCCCAGGTACTGTCTCATTTTTTTCTTGAATCCCTCGGTCATGCTCAATTTGAATTTTTCTACATTGTCCTGGGGTTTCTGGCCCACCATTAGCCCTGTTTAAGTTATGAAACTGAGTGAAGCCTACCAGCCTGCTGTCATCTGGAGTCCCAGATAGGGAAGCCTGATGGAAAACAGGCAGATTTGCTGTGCGTGCACAAATCAATTACTCCAAGCATGTGCTTGCATTGTACATTCTATAATCCTGGACCTACAGCTCATATGCTATACAGGGCAACTGCACAGATTCCTACCCTGCATTTTCCTATCCACATTTTCAAGCTCAGTCTGGGGTATCTTGTAAGTTTCTTACCTTGCTCAAACTTTTACTTGGATGGAAAAGAAACTCCTCCATTTA